GCTTTAGCGAGGGAGCACGCCGCGCGGACGCGACGCGCTAATTGAACCGATCGGACCAGCTCGCGAAAAGGGAGTGGCTCACTGGCCGGTTACGCGCAGTCGCCCCGTGGCGCGTGAACGGGAGCGACCGGTAACGGGTTAGAAGCCAGCGCGCGCGATAGACAACCGAAACGGACGTATATAGGCGCGAAAGGGACGGGGGCGAGCTTGCCCCAGTTTACTGGTGGGGACGGGTGTCAGGTCTTAACCCCTCAGAGGGACGCCTCGGACACCTGTCCCAGTGTACAGTACCTGCCTCCTAGTGCGTACCAAGTACTGTACGCAATTAAAAAACTAGCGCCTCAATTCCTAATTACCGCGTGGACGCTGCAGCTACACGTGTGTACTGCTGTACACACGCGCTGCTTACAGACTACTGCACAGATGCCACGTGTGCTAGCGTCCACTCGTAATACTAGCAGACTACCGCTTGGCCGACACGTGCACTACTGTACACGTACGCCAGATTACGACCGCTCGGCACTCGCGCGCTCCCTACACGTGGGCACAGCCGCCCACGTGTCTACTGTGCACGGCCGCACGCTAAATAATCTCCCTGCGCGCGTGTCCGTCGTCATACTACAATATTGCAAAGCACGCATTGCCTGCCGAAGTAGTTCTAAACTAAAATTTTATCAGAAGAAATTTTTGCATTTGCGCGTTCTTGTTCTGAATTCAGGACACCGTTGCGGGAATTTTTCTTGGGAAGTAGGTCTCGTACTATCTCAGCAGCTCCCTGGTAGCCCTTGCCCATGATAACTGCCCAAAAACCGTGAAAATACTCGGCAAATGGACCGATGTCTGCAATATCCATATCATCATATGACTTCTGGAGACACATGCGGTGAAAGCCAATGTTTTGGCGGAATATCTCTATGTCTGAGACTGCACCAGGGTAATGGCGCGTGACGTTAACGGAAAATCCATGAGGTAGAACGGAGACTTCCGTTTTGAATCCGTAAAGTTTGTGCTTATTGCTGAAATGCTTTTTCGCTTCTTCATGATTACCAGGTGGGCGATAAGTTTGGTGAAAAGTGACATCTGGTGCGTACAGAGCATGGAGGTTGTGCTTGAACGTTTTTTGTTCTGAAGCAGCGGCGTCATTGTGTACTTTCGTTCCCACCTCTGCACCACCGCACGGTAAAGAAACTCTTCGACCATACACGGAAACGCCATGAACACTCGCTCAAACGTCGGGGCTTGCAATTTAAAAACTTTTGCCACAGAATCCCAATTGCCACCATGTTTCATCATCGTCAAAGTCATAAAAAGAACATCCTTTGGTTGATGTCTAGATTTGCGCCCTCTGCCACAGTTCCAATTCTGTTCAACATGTGCTGCAACAAGACGCCATATACGGCTCAGCTCCGCGAGCAAAAAGTTTGTCATTTTCATGATTCCGGCGGCTCCGCTTTCTGCAAAACATTGGTCCATAACTGCGCTCTGAGAGTCCTCAGCCTCACTTTCACTGTCCGTTTGGCTACTGAAGTTCTGAATCTCCTCTCAGCGGTTGGCAGCGGCATCAGCGAGGAGCTTGAGACCAGTACATGCATCACTGGTAGTCACTGTGTCCATGGATTTTGTTGGGCGGGAACGGAAAAGCAGTGTATCAGGAATGGTATCGACACTGGTGAAGGAACGTTTTATATACAGACTGCGATGTGACTTTATCGTCGTCAACGATTGCTGGGTTTGAATTCTTGCTGGATTCCCGCGAAACTGTTCTCTTCGTGATTGTGCTGGTGTGCGTTTCGGCCATCATTGATGCGAGCACCTACGCTAGCGGATCTGGAGCGTCTATTGTCTCAATCGCAAGAGCGGGGATTTACAGGTATGCTTGGCAGCATAGACTGCTGCAAGTGGATGTGGAAAAACTGCCCCACGGCATGGCATAGTCAGTTTCAGGGGAAGGAGGGGGATCCGGCAGTGACTTTGGAGGCTGTGACAGACCATTCTTTATGGATATGGCACGCTTTCTTCGGCATGCCCGGATCCGCGAACGATGTTAATGTGCTCGAGGCATCCTCTTTACTTAACAAGATAGCTACCGGCGAGTACCCTCCACCGATTGAATACACTATCGCAGGGAAGAGGCGGAACATTCCATACTGGCCAGCGGATGGTGTCTATCCGAAATGGCCTTCGTTTGTGCAAACTGTATTGGAACCGAGAACCAGCAAGGAGAAGTGTATGGCTCGGAACCAGGAGCATGCTAGAAAGGATGTCGAGCGCGCGTTTGGGGGTTTACAAGCGAAATGGCACATTATTGCACGCCGTAGTCGCTTCTGGTCGAAACAAATCATGAAAGAGGTCATTGAGTGCTGCATTATCCTCCACAACATGATGGTAGAAGATCGTAAGAACTGTGACAGTGAAGATGCATAGAGCGATGACGAATTACAATGTGATGCGGTCGTTGGGAATTCAGCAAAGCCCATGTAGTCGTGTCTGCAGCGTAGCGGCGCTCAAAACACCACCGTCCCACCCCCAGGATCTCTAGCTGCTCTTTTCGAGACCAACAGGCTTCTAAAACACCGAGAGGAGTACTTTACTACACGAAGGCTCATCATGGATCATCTCTGGGAGTTCGAAGGAAAGCAAATCTAAGCTTGTTGTGGTCCGAGCCGCACGCGGAGCGGCGAGGGCAAAGTACGCAGCGGAAGGAGCCGTAGGCGACTAGAGCGGAGGAGCGGAGGACTTCGCCCTAAGCCGCGACGTGCGCCGAGCGCGCGAAGCGCGCGGCTCGGACCACAACAAGCTGCGTTAAACGACCCTCTACACCTCCTCACTGGCATCGTGGTAGCCTGGCGGAGGCTGGGTTAGCATGTCTTCCAGGATCAGCCCACGTTCATTTCCAGCCTGCGTATCCCTGTCCTGATCATCTGAACTCATGACCACAGCGCCGTCGCTCTCGCCAGTGTCTTTCATATTCGCAACTGTGTTCAGTGGAGGCGTTCCGCTCCTCGAAGCGTCAGATGAAGGTGTGCGTGAAGCGGCTTCGTTACGGTCTTTCCGCGCAGCAGCGACGTTTCGTTGTGCCGAGGCAAGCGCCTCTTCTCGCATGATAGTGAAGTACTCGACGGCCTGAGACTGATCACAGCCCGGCCGTGCTTGGGTAAAGAGAAGAATGTCGCTGTGTTGAGCAAGCATCGCGTTACGAGCGCGTTGGCGCTCCACGGCTTGCAATTCCAGCTTCAGCTTCTTCTTCGATGCCTGCGTCTTTTGCAATTCCTCCTTAGCCTTTCGGCGACCCGTAGGCCTCCCTTTCGACCGCTTCACTTCCTCTTTCACCTTCATCATCGTGACACAATCCTCTTAAGAGGAGTCCGTCTCCTGCTGCATCGACGCATCTGCGGACTTGGAGCATTGTGACGAACTACCCGCCAGATACTTCTCGTGGTGGCGCAACACTTGCCAGCAATGTAGAAACTTGAACGGCTTTCCCACGTCGTCAGTTGGTTCCTTTATCTTAACGTCGTTGAACAGCCCAGTAGCCAATCGGACCATGTCTTCCTCACTCACGCCCGTAGGCTTGGAACTTAGGATTGTCTGGTGGCATGCCGAGAAGCGCACGCAGAGCTTAACGATTTGCTTGACGCGGGTCTTAATCGATTCGAGAGGGCGAGCGGGCATGTTTACGGGCCTCAGAGCATTGTACTCTTCCCATACTTTCGCGAAGAACTTGGCGCCCTTTTGCTCAGCACCAACAATGGGATCTTCAGAAGCCCGCACCCACCCTCGAGATACTGCGCAATCTTCTTCAAGGCTGTAGTTGCTCCCTCTTGTTTTGCTCATGTTGAGATGGAAACACTTCCGACGCGATGTTCTCGAACATGGCGGGGAGGTGAATGATCACTGCCCACATCGAGCTACCTTTCCTTCTGCCACTTTTCGCGCCAAAAGTCCTGCAAGTCCTGCCTGGGCAAATCTTGTGACGCCACTTGGCGGAAATAATTTTACCCTGGGGTAAAATCCTGAGGCAAATCAGCCGTTTTTGCCCCAGGATTTTCCCTCTGAGGTAAATTTTTTCTCTTTTGATCATTTGAATGCGCCCGGTGGGAGTCGTACAATTGAAACCAAATGACAAAATATGATTATTTGAGTATTTGGTTATTTGATTCAGTACCGGTGGAGATGCTCTGAAGACTCGAAAGCTGGTACAGCCCTCCATCCCATGGCCGAGTTTCGCTCTCTGTACATGTTTTCAGCTAAAATGCCGTTACTTTTCGTGAAATGGAGTCAAAAAAAAATATAAATGTATATATATTTAAAATTTATCCATGCGTTCTTCGTCTCGCCTCTCGTTATTATAGCTGTCATCACCTTTTTCGATTGCAGTTTTCGATATGATTCCTTCTTTTTTATTTAAAACGGGCAGAATTTAAAACGGGCAGAATTTAAAACGGGCAGAATTTGATTTTGTCCAACGGTTTATGTTTTTGTCCGAGAATTGACCAACCCCCCCTTTACCGCTGTCAAGCGAGTTATGTTGGATTCTCATCAGCGAGACACTCGAAGGGGCGGAATTTTTTACTCATCACGGGAGGTTTTAATTTTGCTTGGAAGCAAATTAAAACCTCCCATGATGAGAACAGGAAGACTTCAGGGGGCATATCAAATAGTTGGATGTTGTGGCAACTGTGTTCAGACAGACTCGGTCGGATAGCAATATCAATCTGTCTTGGCTCCTATTGGAAAAGAAAAACGCCTTCGGCATCATATCACCTTCTCTCGATTCATCCTAAGGCAAAGGCCCACCGAGTATCCAATCTGTTTGGGCAAGGCGCAACGACATTGTCATGGAATCCGGATTCCTTTACAACCACACGCAACATCTTCGTCAAGGATGAGGGCGAAACAGGGAATAACAAAATACAATGGGGCTAGCGGAGACCGGCTCTGTCCATGACGCGCTGTTTACGGATTTCAAATCTATCGATCTTATACCCACGCGCTGATCATCAGTTCAGAAGACTTTGAATTGACGTAGGGGCATGTTTGGAAGAATGACCATAAGGATGGTAGTCCGACCTAGAATCACCGAACCTCCCCATTGAGGCCGTGCGGACAAGAATGGATGACGACGGAGGGACGCCATGATCATGCCGCGATGAGGACATGTACGTGTCACCTCTGTGGTGGGTAGACGTTCTGGGGGTGCCCCTCGATTCAGAATTCTCCTTCTGCCTCTTGGCAGCCTTTCTAGCTGCATCCCTCCTTCGATTCTCGGCTTTTTGGCCCTCCGTGAGTCTGCCTCTTTCCCTTCGTTTGCGGTCTGCATCCATGCGCTTCCGACGTTCCTTTTGCTCTGGGGTTTGATTGAGGCGCCATTGTCTCTTTCTCTCGGCCTGCAGTGTTCGGTTGCGCATCTCCTTATCAGTGAGAGCTTTCTTGGATCGTGAGGAGGTAGGGGAGGAGACATGGCCGATAGCGTGTGTCGAAGTGGGAGAGATTGATGAGCATAGGTGAGCAAACGGCGGCAGAGGCAGCTCGTAGGAAGAAGGGTGTTTGGGGGGGCGGATTGCTTGTGACTGGTGACGGTCCATATGGCACGTGGCTCGAGCGGGGTCAATAGAATGCAAAGGTTTTGGCAGACACAGGGAAGAGGGTTGGGTAGTGATGTATATGTAGCGATGGAAGGCCCTGTAGCTGATGAAGGCGTCCGAAACAACAAAAGGAGGGTACCAAAAGGCCGAGAAGAGGATGGCTTGAAGAGATGTGGCAGAATGAGCGGGGTTGGAGGCTTTATACTGAATGGAGGGGTGCGGTGCGGTGCTTGTATGGAAAAAGTCGAGAAGTGTTTAGAGCGGATGTACTGTGCCATTGGTACAGTATGAATTGCGGGGTCACTCCCATGATGAAAAGGTGTTTACTGTATTGTGTGATACTGCCTGACTTGGTGTGATGTGAGTGGACTGTAGAAGGCATATGGCCAGAGTATTGCGACGGGGACTAAGGGCTGGGCGGTAGGGCCAGAACGACGTGTGAGCGCCGTGGCGAGCAGACGACTCGAGAGGGGACAAAAGGAGAGGAAAGGAGACGGGATAAGTCGGACGCAAGGAAGGTCCTGAGTGCAAAGAAACGGGGAGAAGGGGAGGATGGGCGCAGACAAAAGCTTAAAGGACAAGACGCGGGAGACGTTGAGGTGCGGAGGTGTTTGCGTCACTAGACTTGTGCAGTGGTGGGCCACGGGGCTAGTCGGTGGGGAAGCGATTGCAAGGTGGCGGTTGTGAATTATTACGAACATCGTATCACTGCATTGCGACGCGTTCTTGCTTCGATACACCGCACCCCCCAGGGACAACATCACGGTCGCCAGCAGCCGCCCCTTGTCGCTGTATTCCTTTCATCTTTGGGAGAGAGCCCAACGCAAGCACTCGAGATACCGCTGTCGCTACCACACCACCGCGACCGCATCGCGACCGCATCGCGACCGCGACTACTGTGTCTTGGGTCATTACACGGCGATAATCGAACACACAAGGACGCAAATGTTTCAAACTTTGCTTGCTTGGAGCCAAGGCTTACGGTATGTACAAGCCGGCGACTTGTAGAGTTCATACCGCATCATCGTTTTTCTTCTCAACTCTCTCAATCGTGATTCTGGTGATTAATGGTGTGTGGAATTCCCGACCTTTTCGACCTTGAAGAAATATTTATCAGCTTTATCTCGAGTCGCATTCAACCTTGTACAGTCTGGTACAGTGAAGAACAACCGCGTGTGCGGCAGCGTTACCCATATAATATTTACGATATCTACACCCGTGCAATTACAATTCTTTCACCTTCGGTAGCGGTACCCTTGGTACAGTACCCTTCGAGTGGTACACCCAACCTCGCATCCTCGCACACTCTTTAAACCTTTCTAAAGGGTTTACACTTCCGCTTTCGTGTCAAAAAGCTGCTCGATCGCAGGGCAGCCACTTCTCATCACTCACTCGATCCCGTGTTTGGCACCCACCCAAATACAGTACTCTGCACCCCGACATCTCTCCGCTACCGCATGTCTCACTACTTCAACCTTGTCAACAAAGGACGCTAAGTTGCTTCCTTTGCTTACATCCATCCTCTACAAATCTGCTTTTCGATTTCCAATGCTTCATACACATTCCATTAAAGGTAACCACCGCCTATCAACGTTTTGAGCCATATTCACACTGCTCGGTATACCACACTCTTGTGCTTCCGTCCATCGTGTTCCAGTTTACCTCTGCACTCGAGATCCGACGCCCGACGTAGGAGATTTGGACGCCACGCCCTGCGCGCCACCTCCTACGCGCCCCGTCGCTTTCGTAACGATTCAAATCTACTCAAAAATCTACCGCATTCCATTGGATGATCCACGGGGGTTAGTTGTATACTGCTGTCGGTTTCTCTTTTGACGGAAGCAGTCCGTACCGAGGACTTCGACCCTCTTTCATTTCTTCTCAGTGTGCCGCAGTCATGAAATCGCGGCAGGCAACTGTCGTTTTGCGCCTTGTTCAAACATTACGCTAATGGTGGGTAATGCAGCCAAGTCCCACAAATTGTCACATGTCTTAATACCGTACAGTGCGTTCTGAGGTAGACAAGCACAGCACTGAAGCCGCTGTACAACGCTCTTGATTTTAACCACCCTCGTGATTAATCTGTCGACTGTCGGCACGTTGTGGGACTCCAGCCAGGATGCATACAGAGGGGCAGGTCGACGACAGGGTAGCTGTCTTCCGGAATACATATCCAACAGCACAGATTTGACATATGCACGCTGGAATCCTCATCATGAGCTCTCGCACACTGGGCACTTCCTCTCACACACGAGCCCCAAAAAACTCGTTGCATAACTTGGTGCGCGATTTTGATTTGCATGCAGACTTGAACATTTTGATTGCATGCAGACGTGAGCGTTGTGACTTTGTCCGGAAGGTACAGACAAAACAACGTGTACTGGGGCAGTACCCACCTAGGTGATTGTCAGTCTCCGTTCGCCCGGTCCGGCACAATTTACGGACAACGAGTGATTGTCGACGGAGGGTCGCCGCAAGGGTAATGCAGGCCGAGGCATTCGGTATTCTCCGAGAAGTTTGATGTTTGGTTGGTGGGGAGTAGATTTGCCGGATGTCCGTCTCACAGGGAACTTCAAAGAAATGAAAGGGGGTGACGGTCATAACCATACCCACCGTACCATACATACTGTTCGCACTTTACCGCACATACTGTACCGTCGTTGCTGTGCCTACCAGCATGACGCAAACGGAGTGTCCTTGGAGAAAGACGACAGGCCAGTGTAGGCCACAAATCTACAGTATGGCGCGGCTGTCGATTACAGGGTACAGATTTTGTGGTCAGCATTGGATAACATTGCGCTCAATACCGGGAGAATGTATGAGCTAGTGACGACGTTTTGGGATCCGTCATACTTCTGAGGCAGTGACTTTGCAGACTCCGCAGGCAAGGTTTGTCGTGTGGAGAGCTGTGAGGGGTGCAAACGCGTGCGAGACAGCCGTGCGATGAAGGGGGAGGGTTTGCGTTGCGCCGGGAGGTGGTGAGCACATCTAATACACGGTCTTCTCAACTCTCTGACGCAAGCGCTGCCGCACCGCACGGGACTCGAGAGGATACAACTTCATGGTCAAGAGACTAGAGACCCTCAAACAATAATACTAAAAGAGCGAAACCCATGTACGCTTAAATTTGCTCTGTCTCGATGCGAGGCATTTCGCAACTCAGTCAATTTGGCTGAGAAACTCCTTCCCCTCCTTCACCAGTTTGTCTACGACCACTAGTCGCACGGTCGGGTGGTCCTCCTCGCCATGACCCGGATCGTTAAACGTTTAAGTTTTCATGTTTTCATTTTCAACATGAAAACCCTTTTTGTTTCCTCTCTGCGCCGGTAGATACCCGAAGGGTACAACTGCACAGATTTCTTCCATCTTGCGCCTTCTTCCACACGCATCAAAACCCCTAAAACCCACTTCGCCTGGCCATTAAGCAGAGTGCAGTATGCTAAATGTTGCCCTCACTCACACCAAACTAACAATATTTGCGCTATCGACTGGTCCGCTTCGTTTTCGACCAAGCTTCCTAAAAGCTTCTCGAAACAGCTTCGCAATGCTCAGCAACGTGGTCCATGAAGCGTACAGCTTTCTAGCGTTGGCCTCGATACTTGCTCTGTACCGTGCTCTACTGTACTGCACTCGTACTGCTCATCGACTTGGTGCAAGTACAGTATAATCGAGGCCGTCATGAGAGTGGCCTTGCAAAAGCCCGCGAAGTCTTCGAGTAACTGCTGCCACCACTATTGCGGCTTCGCATTTGGCATTCAAAAGTATTAAGGCGAGATGAAGAATCAGTCACAATGGTATGTAGCCTGCCCGTACAGATAGAATTCCGGAAGTGTAATGGTTTATTATTTCCCATACCAGATACTGTATTTGCAAACGAGAGGTAGTTGTTATACAAGCTTACCGATGCGTTGTCCCCGTCTCATCGCACTGCAAGAAACTGTTGCGAAGCAGGACTGACTGTGCCCGCACAAACGGGCAAAGGCCGAGCACGGAGAAGCTACTGGGACAGTATCCATTTTGTGCGACTCTCTTTCTCGTGATATACAGTAGTACTCTTGGGTACTCTTGGGTACTGTAGTATGCAGTACAAACCAATGCACTGCTGTAGTGCCAGACAGGCCTTAGCGATGAACTGATCGATTCTCGTTCATGATCCCTGCACCTTGCCCCCTTCGCGACGCGCATGGGCTAAATTCAGTCTGAACACAATAGCAGATACGCCATGTGCATCCGTGTAGTGCCCCTCGTGCACAAGGAGAAAAACGAGACCGATTGGTTTAGGCGACATTGAAGGTTGAGATTTCGTGGTGAGCTCGAGTCTTTTTTGAAATCCTTGGAAATTCAAAAGAGGAGCTTTGTGATTCGCACGTAGTTTGCACCGTCTTGCATCTATCGTACAGTGCGAAGAACAACCACAGGGCAGTGCTGCCATGGAGAATCCCTCCAAGTTTGGCAATCGTGCCGTCCGTACTCTACCCAAGAGTAGTGGAAACGAAGAGTGATAAGGGAAAGATGCTCTCTGGCAGCTGGAAAATATCATACCGCATATTGACACTGTACTGCAGTTGTTCTGACAACTTCACAGACTGTTCCCAGTTTCACTTTACTGTGCATTAAGGTTTTCAAACTGGGGTTGATGACCTGTCGACTCGGTTGGATGTAAGACAAAAACAAGTCCTACAGGAAGTGTTCAGTCCTTTGAAGAGGGTACGTGTGACAAAGGCAACGATAATGTGCGCGCAGCTCGATCTCTTGACCAAGCTCGATGCCCAGACTTGGGTCAAAGATCGAGAGTCTTGTTTGTGCGGATCTGAATTTTTGAAAACGAGCCCGACGGAAGAACAGGAGTGGAATAAAAGCACGTGAACGTGGGCACCTGTTGAATGAGGGCACCTCGCTGCTCGGTGAACAACATCCATGATTTAACTGTGGTACTGTACAGTACCCTTGGGTACAGTGTGTTGATTTGATCATACTGTACCCCGAAGCATACAGAGATG